TGGCTCTGTCAACACCTCTGGCTGAGGGCTACTGGGCTGTCAGGAACCCTAAGGCGCTGAGGACACAGAGTGACAGAAGGGATGGATGAGACAAAGGTCAGAGTGCACGGAGCACTAGTGAGGCCAGAGATCAAGTGTACGCATGGCCCACCTGTGTGAGTAGAAGAGGACATCGATGAGGGTGGTGGCAATAGCCGGCAATGTCTCAGGGTCCAGTGTGAGGACACAGAATCGGTTCTGCGGGCTCTGAATGGGATGCACCGTGGGGCTGGGCCCTGCACGAGACACAGGGGCCATAAGGTGAAAAGGCAATCCTGGGCTGGGGCGACCCCTGGTGGCTGGTCAGGGAAGGGCTTGGGTGTACCTATTCCAACTCACACATTGAGAAACACCCATCCCAACCCTTCGGAAAAACAAGCCCTCCTGTGGGGAAAGGTCCCACCGAAATCTGGGTGTTGGCGGGCAGACTTTACCGTGCTGGGCTCGGGGACAGCCGTTGCTCGAATCATCCTTGGCAACCGGAACAGGCTCCCCACCTACTTCCCGGTAGATTTGGAACTCCTGGGCCAGTGTGTGGATCACTACAGACAGGTCCTGCTCCCGAACCTGGGTCAAGGCAAACGGCACACATTTACGCAGCCCCAGGCACCTCGGCTCCCGCCCTGCCACAGCACCTGCCCGAACCCACCAGGATGAAGTCTGTCTGGTATGTGGACAGCAGCAACACAGACACGTGGTGCTCAGCCAGCGGGGCAATGACAGACCGCGCAATCTTGGTGACGCCAGCAGCCTGCATCACCGCCCCACTGTGAGAGGATACGTTCATCACCAGCCATGTGGCCTCGGCCACTTGCAGGAACTCGGATGGGGGTAGTTCTGTGGGCAGGAGGTACAGGAACCTTAGTGAGTTCTAGCAGGGCAGGGCAGGACTGGAGCTCATGGCGGTCTCTCCTTAGTTCTGCCTCCGTGTGTATGAAAGCATTCTCAAACTCAGCACTAGGGTGACGTCCCGGCTTTACCATTTGCTGTGAGACTTGAGACAAGTGGTTGCTCATTGCTTGTTTCCTTTGAGCCGTGTCTTACAATGTAGATTAGGCTGGGCTTGAACTCAAACCGATCCTCTTGCCATAGCCTCCTAAATGCTGGAATCCCAAGCCCTGTTTAGTCTTAGTTTCCTATCTGCAAAATGGGATATTCCTCACGACTTTTCTGTGGCCTGATTGGCTTCGTAACACCACCAGAGGGCGCCCAGCGACCTACTGATGGGGAGGTGCTCTCCTGCAGGCCAGAGCTTTCCCTGCAGAACAGGGAAACTAAGTCCTTCGGGAGGGCCGCTAGGCCAAGCTCCAGGTGGCTGGCTTGAGACTCCAGGCCTTAGAGGACAGGACAGGCAGGCAGAAGTGGGAGCCAGGAGTCAGCTCCCAGGTTCCAGTACTGAACAGGGACAAGGGCCAGGGTGACTGTTGTTCGCCCAAGCACAGCCAGGAGGCCCCAGGACCTTGCTCTGGGCTTGCTGCCTGTTCCTGCATTCCTTCCCCAACCCTCAGACTTTTAGACTTCCCAGGCCAGTAAAGGAGAAGCTGGCTTTCACCGAGGAGCTAATTCCAAGAAGAAACAATGATCAGGGGTTAAAACAGCTACAGGTGTTTTCTGGCCTAAAACTGTGAGAACTCCCCCCCACCCTTGCTGGCCTGGGACTCATATCCAGCCCTTTATAAAGCTCTCATAAATATTGTTAAACTGCCATGACTACATCTTAGACATGAGAAAATAGTACTTAAGTGAGGGGTGGAGGTTCGAATCCAGATCCATATGCCTTTGAGTTCTAAGCTCTCTGGAAGCTGTGCCTGGTAAGAATAGGGCTTAGAGGTGAGCAAGGGGTCAGTTCCCACCTTTAAAGCCCTCCTCATCCACCATGAGCGTGTAATCTTCCGGGGTCTCCGTCAGGCTGAAGAACTTGCACCTAGTGGGAAGGAAGGGGTGGGGACTTTCAGGCTGGAGAGGACAAATGAACTTTGCTCCAGCAGCACTAAAGGACCCCCCGCCAGGCGCCTTCCTGACCCGCCCTCAGGCCTCAACTTCTTCCTCGGAGCAACGTGGTCTGGGTCCAACGTCTGGGATCTCCGGCTGTTTTCCAACTCCAGATCTCCCCTCCATTCCACACCCTAGAGGTGTCGGGCTTTGGATTCCCCTAGACAACTCTTACACTTTACGTGAGGAGTCTGGGAAAGGGCTAAGGCAGGGCTAGAAGGCATGCTCCACTACACTGCCTATCCCAGGCAGTTTGCACCTTGACTAGCCCAGCAAGAGGACCGCTCCAGGCCGGATAGGCGGCGTCTCAGAAAGGGTAATCCCCAACCAGACGGCGGCCAGAGAGGACAACGTCCCCACCCGGTACACGCCGCTTCCTCGCGGCGACCCTAATCCTCTGCCCCTGGCCTGGAATGACAGAGGAGCCCCCACCCGTCTGACCTGCGCCCCTGAACCCGGGTGCGCACCGGCTGCGATGGGGCAGGAAGAGCAGCTTGATGAGAGGGTGAGTGTAGAGCCAGAGGCCCGGGCGGGCGAGGCTCAGTACCCGCACCCGGTGCTCTAGGATGTGGAGTTCCATCGCAGATCGCCCGACCACGGCCCCGCCGCCAGCTAGACCCAGGCAGTGGCGGGGCGGCGCCCGGCTTAAAGGAGCCGCGCTGAGGGGGCTCCGCACCGCCCGCTATGCCGCGGGCCCGCCCAGGCAGCGACCCACTCCCCGAAGGCCACGCCCCACAGACTCAACGAAGTGGTCACGCCTCCTCCCAAGCCCCGCCTTCCCGGCGCTGCAGGCTGCCCTCGAACCCGGACTTGGTCTACGGTCCATTCCTCTAGCCCCGTCAGGGGATCCCTGCCTGCTCCCACCCCTCGGCGGCCTCCAGGCCACGCCCCGGCCACGCCCTTTCCGCTGGCCGCCGGCTGTGTTGGGTTTGGAAACGTGCCGGAAGCTCAGGGTCCTGTCTGAACTCCAGGCTTGCACGTGGGCTTTACAGTTGAGGCAATTAAGACTTGCCGGTGTTCGGCTAGGGTCGGAATGCTGTCCACAGATATCCGGAGCGTGGAGACTGGAGACCCGTGCGCGGTACAGCTGGGTGGCGCCTTTGTCCTTCCTTTTATTGCTGGGGACAGGGGCTGCAGAGCTGACAGGGCTGATCGTACTAAAGATCACTAGGCAAGGGCTGCCCTGGGCTGGTATTGGTAATACTGCATCCTCAACCCGGCCATCGTTCTGACCAGCCGTCCTAGGTTTTAATCGCCCGATTTCCAGAGTAGAATGCTCCTCTCTAAGGGGAAGCACAGAAAAAGCATCCTATCACATAGCTAAGCAAAGCTTGGGGTTATTCCAGGGAAAGAACCCAGAAGTACCTGAGTTGGGACCGCCCAGGGCTCAGGCATTGAGGGGACAGGCCCTTGCACTTGAGGCTCCCTGGGTATTCAGGCTGGAGACTTGAGCCCCATAGAAGTCTCCTCAAAGCCTGTCACCCTCAGCAGAACGCAACTGGTCTGAGCACATCTAGATTTGCTTCCGATCCAAGAAGGCCCCAAGCGCTGGCAGACACCCCAGGTATGATCAAGTTTAAGAAGACCCCAAGGCTGAGCAGGAATGAGCAGGCACAGGTTGGTTCCACGGCAGGACACAGCATGCTCCATGGGGCCTCGATTTGGCCCAGGCACTCAAGCCTCAACTTGAAGGCCTTGAATAAGGTAGGTTAAAGTCGGCCTCGGGCACGACTGGGATCCAGCAGGTCCATGCAGGACTTGGTGTTCTGGACCCAGTACCACAGGCAGACGGAAGCTGGGCTCAACCCTGTTCCTGGCTTTTCTAGCTCCAGATGATTCTCATGGAACACAGTGCAGCCACATCCTGGCTGGTCCTCTGGAGAACTGGGAGTGGGGTGGGAGCACTTCCCAAAGGCTGAGTCCATCTCACCATGGCAGGTGTGGAGGGTGGGAAAGCAGAGGGTGAGAGGCAGGAGCAGAGAGCGAGTGAGCTGCCCAGGGCCTCTGGTGTCCACTCACTTCTCGAGCCTCGGTATCCTCAGCTGTGCCAGAACAACATGTTCTAGGCCCAGGCGGTGTCTGAAGCTCCCAGCGAGAGTCTGTTTCTCCCTCCCTGTTCCCTCCTATGGTCTGGCCCAGCTTGGTCTCAGGCCAGGAACAGCCACTATTGTTTGACTAGAAAAGCTGCTTCCTCAGCAGAAGGGGGGAACCCTCTCCCAGGGACACCCTGTTCTCGCCATTGCCAGTTATCAGGTTGTCACTGAGCACCTGCCTGCCCCTCCATGGCAGTCTGCTCACTTGGGGAGTGAGGGCCTTGGGGTACAAATGTGGCTCTTGGAGGTGGAGGACACAGAACTCCTTTTCTGTCAGGCACAATCCCAGTCTAGCAAGAGGACCATGTCCGCAAATAGGAAGTAGCAACCTCGCCCCTTACCGGTCTGCCTCTGGCGGAAGCCTGTGTCAGGCATCTACAGTGCCTCATCCTGGTGGCAGCCCCTGACACAGTGTGAAGTGCTCAGAAGTTAATGGGATCTGAAGTGGCATCAAGGCCTGGCTCTGGAGGAGGAACAGCTCTAAGCTACCTTACAGGGATCCACCTCTAACTCCCACCCCCAATAAAAAGACAGGGACCAGGCCAGCACATGCCTTTAATCCCAGCACTCAGGTGGATCTCTGTGAGTTCAAGGCCATCCTGGTCTACAAAGTGAATTCCAGGACACCCAGGGCTACAACAGAGAAACCCAGGGACCTCAGGGATTATTTCCTGCTCTGCCCCAGTGGTGAGCTTCAGTTCAAGTCATCTAGGTCAGAAGATGGACACAGCATCAGAGAGAACAGAGCCTAGAACAGCAGCTGGCCTTGGACTTGGGGCCTCGTGTATCAAAGGTATGTTTCAGAGGGGTTCCTGCCGGGCTGGGGGCCCAGGATGAAGGGTGATACCCCTTTTGGGTCCCTAGCTGCACACCAGCTCTCTATACAAGCCTGTTTATTTTTGTACAAAACCGTATTTCTATTTTACACAAGAGTACCCCCTGCTTCCCCTCACGTCAGCACCCTAGTCCTGAAGAATATCCCCCAGAAGGACAGGGCTGGGTGAGACCCAACCTATTTGGCCATAGCTTCTGCCTGTGCTGGCTGGGCCAGCTTGACTCAAGAGAAAATAAATAAGGAGGCTTGGGCAGAATCTGTACTGGGCCAGCCAGATTCTATCCCAGCCCAATGGTCAAGCAGTTGGGCCTTCAGGTACACAGGACCTGGAGTGTTGTCAGTCTCTGAACCGTGTAAGATGTGTGGAGACCCCACCTGGAGGCCTGAACTCCCCGGGTTACAAGTAGGTGTCCTCACTCTCCTGGGAGGTCAGGCTCTCCTGGGAATGGTGGAAGGCTAAGTCCTGGGGAGCAGAGTCCTGGGGGACTGGGTCCTTTGGAGGTACATCCTGAGGAGGACATGCATCTCCTGAAGCAGTCACCACTGTGGCTTGATTGGGGCCTGGGGACTTGTCCAGCTGTCCACTGGCCTTTGTCCTCCTCTGCTCCTTCTGGACCTGCTTGGGCGGCTTTGCTTTGGAAGTGAGGAGGGTTGCGTCTGGGGGTAGGCGGATGGATGGAGAAGGTTGCAGGGCAGGTCGGGGACCAGGCTCTGCATCCAGGATGGCTTTGGCACCATGCATCCTGGGTGGAGAGCGACACTCCAGCTCACCACGGGTCTCTTGCCAGCGCCGCAGCTGGATGAGATGTTCTCGCTCAATCTGGCGCTCTGTCACCGGCAACTCTATTACCTTTGGGACAACAAGGGACAAGTGAGCACCAGAAAGCGTGACCTTTCCCTTCTGTCTCCAATCCTAGGCTCTCCCACCCACCAGCAACCCCTAACTGTGTCTGCTAAAAGCTGAACCCAGGAAGGATGTGACTATGGTTTGAGTGCCAAACATGAAAGACCCATTGTCTCAGAGGACAGACCTGCCGGCAGCTCACAGGCCCACCCAGCTTCCATCTTGGATAGAAGCAGCAGGGCTAGGCAACCCCAGTCTCATCCAGTATTGTCCCCTACTGACGAGGGCAGCCTGACTGTCCAGGCTCCACTACTTTTCAGCTGGAATTGAAATCTGCCTCTGAGCCTCTATTTCCTCAAAGGTAAAATGGGGACACTGCTGGAAGTGGCATATGTGAAGAGGGCCTTTTATGTCTGCCCTATAACATGAACTAAGATTGGCCTGGCCTTGGTCTGCCCCCTCTCGATAGTTGGCCATGCCTATGTCTCTTAATTTGTAGCCTCCGAAAAACAAGTACCCTCAGGAGAAGTGAGAGGGCAGTAGATCACAGCTCTGCTCTACTCACAAAGCAGGCTCACTAAGGAAGGCACTGCACAGCTGGGCCCCACTTGCCTAGCAAAATGATGAGGTCCATCAGTCCTGACCTGGGCTGACCAACCCTTGGAGCAGGGCCATATAAGGCCTCCTCTAAAACCAGCTCCCTTCCCTCCAATAATATGTGGGAGGTGTGGGCCGCACCTCCTGGACCAAGAAGGCTTCCTGCATGATCTTGGGGCTGAGGCTCCGCAGCTGCTCGATGGTTTCATACTGGCCCTGGCAGGCTTTGAGCTTCTCAGGAGAGCCTAGTGCATGCTTCAGCAGTACCAGCCCCACACGGAAGATAATCTTGACGCCTGTATGGGGCAGGTGATGAGTCCAAGGGAGGCTTGTGGGCTTCTTTTGCACCCCCCACAATCCAGCACTGCCCGATACCTTCACAAAAGAACATGTCCCAGACTCGCAGCACGGAGCTCCAGGGCAGGGTGCGGGCAAAGGCACACATGAACCACTCTGTCATGTACAGCAGGGGGTCAATCTTCTGCCTGCTAAGGTGCTTGTGAGCCACGGGGGACACCTTTTGTAGCAGTGAGAAGAGGATCTCACCATCCAGCTGGATTGCTTCCTGGAGAAACAGCAAGGCCACACAGCATGACCACAGCCCATACTGGGTCAGCATCAGGTAGCTGGAGCCTATAGAGTACTGAAAGACAGGTGAGCAAACTAGATACAGAATGGGAAAGGGAACACTGGGGCTGAGTTTCCCAAACAAGGAAGGAACAGGTGCAGCCTGTCAAGGTCAGGAAAGGGCCACTCCTGGGCTGAAGGACAAGGGAAAGGCATTCTGAGTGAACAGAATGGAGCTGCAAGCAGAAGCTCTCCCCTCCCTGCAACACAGGGGTTCCGGAACTCACTTTGTAGACCAGGCTAGCACTGGACTCAAGAGATCACCTGCCTCTGCCTCCCAAGTGCTGGGATTAAAGGTGTGTACCACACTGCCAGGCTCTTATACCTATGTCAAGGAGGGAGGGACCAGGAGCCCTGAGGAATTTTGATCCATCCCACTACCTCAGAGAACATCAAATGGCCAGAGGCACAGATGGAAATATAACTGATGAAGCTGGTGCCTGAGTGGCCTCTATCAGGTTTTGGGACTTTAGCCTTGGAGTGGCCACAGAAGGCACCCAAGTCAGCAGGTACTCACCAGTTTCTCACTGTAGTAGCCAGGCAGGTACTTCTCACAGACTTGTACCAGACACCAGAAGGCTTGCTGTGGGTGAGAGAGGCATGAGCCCTTGTGGCTGAGGTCAGGTCCCCTGCCCACCCCCCCGGGTCCTGGGTACCTCAGCAGGCATGTGCATGAGCAGCACAGCAGCAATGGGTGCCTGGGCCTGGCAGTAGCCCTCCTCAGGACGGTACAGCGTGTAGGCCTTCAGCACACGGAACAGGTCCTGCTGGCTGTGGAGAGGACAAGCAGGATAGGATGGCAAGCATGGCTACTGCCCACCACCTCCCCTGTACTTCACTGAACCAGACCTGCCTCAGGACTTGCTCTTCCCTGGAAAGGATGTACTGTGGTCACTGTGGGTCAGTCTCCCACTGGGATCCAAGGACAGGGTTTAAAGAGAAAGCAGGGGTTGGGGCAGGGCTATATAGCAGATAGATACAGACTGAAGAGGGGCTAGAGAGGGCTACCTTGCTAGGCAGCTCTATCCCCTTGCCCAATATATCACTCCCCTCCTGCCTACTGTTTCGGTCCACCAGCCTCCCTTACCTCTTTCCCTACATCAAGAAGGCCTAACCAGCAAAGTTCTAGCAGTCTAGAGAGGAAAGAGTCACAAGTGGGTCAGTACACCAAACCAGAAGGTAAAGGCTAATAGCAGGGTTTTGAGCACATGCCCCCAAGCTCAGTGTACCTTCCCTGACACAGGGATCTTCCCTGTCCCTAAGAGACATCCTAGAACCATTTCCCAGCCCACATGCTTAGCCTGCTTACCCATGGCCTCCTCGGGACACAAACATCTCATGGAAAGGGAACTGCCGGTGCAGGTCACGTTCAATCACATCTAGCCACTTGGGGTCCCCAGGAGACATGTCCAGCTCCTGGAAGCAAGGACATAATGTCAGGAAGCAGTGGGGGGAGGGTGGCACTTCTGGTAGAAGATAACTGTCTTGGGTATCAGCTTAGGTACCAGAGGCACCAACTGCATCACAGAACCAGGCCTTCCTGAAGATAGCAGAACCCTGGGAAACCTGAGAGGGATCCTAGTGCTCAGTAGTTTTGTTTTTTGAGATCCAGAATTCTTTGTTTTTGTTTTTTGAGACAGGGTTTCTCTGTGGTTTTGGTGCCTGTCCTAGAACTAGCTCTTGTAGACCAGGCTGGTCTCGAACTCACAGAGATCCGCCTGCCTCTGCATCCCAAGTGCTGGGATTAAAGGCGTGCGCCACCACTGTCCAGCTAGTTTTGTTTTTTTGAAACAGGGTTCTGCTCTGTAGATCAGGCTGGCCTCAAATTCAGAGATCCATCTGCCTCTGCATCCCGAGTACTGGGATCAAAAGTGTGCACCACCACCAACCAGGCTCTCAGAATATTCTTATGAGCAGGAATCTATCCTAGCTGTTTACCTTTTTTTTTTTTAAACCTTATTTAACTTTATTTTATGCACATTGGTATAATGGTGTCAGATTCTCTGGAACTGGAGTTACAGACAGTTGTGAGCTGCCATGTGGGTGCTGGGAATTGAACCCAGGTCCTCTGGAAGAGTAGTCAGTGCTCTTAACCACTGAACCATCTCGCCAGCCCCTCCTAGCTGTTTATCTAGGGATAATGTTGTGTCCTTCAGATAGAAGGCTTCTTCTTAATAGCTACAGGTGTTACCATTGCTCAGAGCCAAAGACAGAGCTGAGTGTAGAACACACATGGGACTCACTACCCCAAAACAAATCCTGACACAGATGAGAGAACTGAAGGGTCAAAATAAAGTCGGTTACCCAAGGCCTTGAGACTAGAAAAATGATGGAGCTGGGACGTGAAAGCAGGTGTGACTCAGAGCCACCAAACCCAGACTCTGCTGCTTGTATCCCCTGTTCAGGAAGGGACTGTGACATCTGTCAGCCTTAAGTGCTTGTCTAGGTACTGAGGGCTCAACAGTGTGCCTTTCTTCTCCAAACCCTGACTGTGTACTTTTGAAAAGTCATCAGGCTCTAACAGAATAAAGTCCCACAGTCATTGGAAATGTTGTCTCCATCTGAGCGCTGGCAACATGCGCATGTTTTCTCAGGCTCACAGCTCTACGCTCGAGTCTGTCCATCTTACTCTAGGTGAATCCATACATCCATTCTCAGAAAAGGAAATCCAGAGGGATGGGCCGGGAGGCCAAGCAAGTACTAGTTGCCTGCGGAGTGGAGCAGCATCTGGAAAAGTCCTGTAAAGTGAAGCCTTGGCAAACATACCAGATGGGTGCAGGCGGGGCTTTGACCCTGGCAGACAGTGACTGCACACAGGCCCCTTTCTCTCCTGGCCCGAGGTAGTGGTATTCAGAATACTAAAGAACTAGTGTGTTCTCCAACACACTTCTCTCTGGTCAGACCTGTTCTCTGTGGAGAGGGCTCGAGCTATTTGTTGGCAGCACTCAGACTTGAAGGACAGAGAGTCTGAAGGGATGGCAGCATCAGACTAGAAAGCATTGCCCAGTCAGTGAACCACATCTCCTGGGGGCTGTTATTCATCTAAGATTCTACCCTTAGCAGGCCTAGTGGAATGAACTTCATTACAGCTCTGCACCCTATTCTAGCCCTTTCTCTTGGCAGTTACTCAGGTTTGCTTTTATGGTTGAGCTCAGTGCATTACTTCACAGCTCCTGGTCATCAGGAAGTGACCCTCAGACCACATCCCTTCCTGGTGCCTCTAACATGTGCCGTAGTCTTTAGGAGCCTTCACATTTCTTGGCCCCAATCTCTATTCTGTCTCCTGTCTCTAGTATGTCAGAAACTGGGCTGGAAAGCAAACAATGAAGTGAGGCTCATGGAGTGTTGAAGGTTGCGGGGCAGAGGAAGGGGCTGGATTTCTCAGTGGAAGGACTGGGCATCACCCCCTCAAGTTAGTGTCCTGTGTACTCCCCTGTATCACCTGAGTACAAGGCAGGCTTGCTTTTCTCAGGAAGAAGGTTCACTCGATTCTTCTAGTGGTTCTTGAGAACCCCAAAAGTCAGCTCCTTGGATGTGGGATCGGGAACCTCAGCAGCCCAATGTGCACAACCACACATGGACAGCTAAGGAAAGAAAGGGGTAGCTGCAGGGCCTCCAGGGAAAGGGATGCTGAATACCACAGGCAGGTGCAGCTGCCAGCAGACCAGTGTGTGCTGCAGTCGTTAGGCCTGCAGCCTCTGTGAACCTAAGTGGTGCTTGAGGTGCTTAAGGAGATGAAGTCAGAGAAAAACAAAACCAAAAAAAAGCAGGAAGATTCTGCCAAGGAAGAGGCAAGAAAGAGCAAGTGCTGGAGAAAATGGAGCCACCAGATGCTGTAGTGTGTGCAGAAGGGCCCCGAGCTCGAGAACAGGTAAGAGCACTGACACCACAGGTCAGCTCTGTGCTTCCCCATGGCTCAGGCACTCAGAGCAGAAGAGAACACCCCACCCTCCCTACTTTCTCTAGATCTTCCCCAGGTAAGTCTTTCCAGGTGTGCTTGAAAACACTGGGGCCCCAGTATTGCCATGATGACCCACCATACATCTTCAGGGTTCCAAGACAAATCTACCTACCAGCCATCTCAGGGGTGGCCATTTTCTCTCTGGCACTAATCTAGGCACACATATACAAAGTTCTGTGCTTCTGCTGGGTGGTGGTGTACACCTTTAATCCCAGCACTCAGGAGGCAGAGGCAGACAGATCTCTAAGTTCAAACCAGCCTGGTCTACAAAGTGAGGACTGTCAGGACTACACAGAGAAACCCTGTCTTATAAAACTAAACAAACAAAATACAACCAAAAAACCCCCCCAAAAACCAAAGCTCTGTGTTTCACTGCACTATGGACACACTCCTTTTAGACCATGCACCAGGAGGCTAGCTACTCACAGCCTGCCTTTGCGCTTATGTCTGGGCCCATCCTCACACTCTAGCCCTGGCCAGGATGGAGCCCCTGGAACACAGGATGCATTACTACTAGAGGGAAGACTAGAGAATCAAGTTGCTCTTGTGGGACCTGGTCTCAGTGTTGTATGGGAAGATCCACTCACCCTTTCTTTTAATAAACATTGAGAACACAGTTACTGGCACTGAGCCTAAAAGGCACCCTTGGCACTATCAAACCCAACTCAGCTGCCTCTAGCCAAGTGCTGCCACACCATCAGGCTCTCTGTCTCCCAGGACCAAAATGCAGCCAACAAATAGCTTGAGCCCTCTTCAGGCCAACAGTGTAAACTCCAGGCTGCCCTGCTCTGCCCCTGACCACTCTTCACAGAGAACAGGTCTGGCCAGAGAGAAGTTCTTTACTGAAGTATGAAGCATATCAATGAAGAGTTGGTGGCTGGCAGCTCTGTCTCACTGCCTATCGTTAGTCCCAGTGGCCTAGAGGAACCCCTAATGCCTGGAGCCAAGTCTGGAGGTAAGCTGGGTCAACTGTTACCATGGTATTCTCCAAGGGTAACAGGCTCTGCAGTTCAGTTCAATGAATGGAAAAGTATTATGCCATGGGAGCCATGGGGAGAGAGCTGGGGAGCAGGATGGTGGGGCATGACTACAGAAGGCACTGTCTCTAACTACTGACTGACTGGCTTCTGACCCCAAGTAGCTGTGAAGACCACCTAGTGGACCATGTCTCGCTAGGCTTAAAGACAGGAGACAGAGTAGATAGAGGATGGGGGCCAAGAAATGTGAAGGCTCTTGTGATCCTAACAGGCAAGCTCCTAAAGACTATGGCACATGTTAGAGGCACCAGGAAGGGTTGTGGTCTGAGGGTCACTTCCTGACGACCAGGAGCTATGAAGTAATGCACTGAGCTCAACCATAAAAGCAAACCTGAATAACTGCTGAGAGAATAGGGTGCAGAGCTGTAATGAAGTTCATTCCACTAGGCCTGCTAAGGGTAGAATCTTAGATGAACAACAGCCCCCAGGAGATGTGGTTCACTAACTGGGCCAATCTGGGTCTTGAGCAGTCAGGTTGTGAGTAGAAGTCCTGCCAATTGTCCATCTTGCTGAAGTCTAGGACAGCACATGGGAGATCCACTGCCGGGGAGATGCCCAATCCAGAGACATGACAGGCAGACGAAGTAAAAGAAAGAAAACTCACATCGAATTTTCCAGGGTTCTGCTGAAGTTTCACCTTGCCTCCTGACAGGTACTGCCAAGCCCGTCCCCGCAGAGAAGGTGGGATGCCCTTCTGGCACCGAAGACGAATCTGAAAGTCAAAAAGACAGCTGTGCCCAAGCATCCACCCTGGCAGCTCCTCTGCCAAGCCTTGGTGGGCCTTCAGTGAGCATTCACTCAAGAGCAGAAAGGGACTGAGGGCTTTCCTACCCTGCAATGCAGAGCCCATGGCAGGGATGGGAACTGCAATTAGACATGCTGCCACCAGGACCCCACAACTACAGTCACCTGTTAGTAACCATGGGAGATTGGTTCTGGGATCCCCTGCAGACATCAAACCCACTTACAAAGAAGAAGCCAAGCATAGTGGAACATACTGTTAGGTCTCAAATATCTGGGACAAATGGCTAACTGTGGTGCCTATTAGCCTATCAAAGCGAATGCAGGGCTCCAGGCTCACTCAGTACCTGTCTGTGGCTCTCTTAGCTCTTCTCACCACACCCCTACCTTCTCCAGTCCACGGCTTCTCTTCTCTTCCCCCAGCTTCTCTTTCCTGTGCAATCCTGTCATTTCAGTCCTCTGCTCTTGGTTCCTGGTCTCTTCTCTAGGTTGTCCCTCCCTTTCACTGCCCAGTCCAGTCTGCTGGCCATGTTCAGTCTTTTTCTTTCTTTCCTTGTTCTGGACTCTTCCAGATGCCTTTGGCTGTTCTCTCCCTAATATCTACAATAAAAACTTCCTCAACCATACCTTGAAGTGTCATGTTCTCATTTTCACTTGTACACTTTGAATCCCAACACTTGGGAGGCAGAGGGAGGCTAGCCAGGAACTTGCTGTGTAGACCAGGCTGGCCTTGAACTCGCAGAGATCCACAGAGTAACACATGTGCTACCATGGCCAGCCTACTATCATGCCTTTTAAGAAGACACAGAACTATTTAAGGGAACAAAAGATATTAAAGGGAAGGAGAGAGGGAAGGGATACAGATAGGAATATGCTCAATGTACTACATATATATATATATATATATATATATATATATATATTTACATGAAAATTTGAAAACAAAGAACAACATCTTTCCTCAGAACAGGGAAAACTCTTATTAGCACAGGCTCAGAAACCCTACCACTTCTACACTGTGCCACACAGGCTGGAGCGACCCAGCCCTGTGTACTTCCTACCCCACTGGTCCCTCACAAATCTATAGGCGAAAGGAAGTAGGCTCCTCCTGGGCTTCATCCCCAAATGAAGTTTTCAAGGTAGCTTTCTGACCTACATCAGGTGAGCACAAAGGAGCAAAGAGGGCCTGAGTTTGTGGGGTGATGGCAGAAAGGATAGGGTTGAGAGGCAGTGACCCTCCTGCACCCCTGCACTAAGCAGCCTGGCCTGAGATCAAGGGGACCAGTGCTTGTGGCATGAGAACACCTGATGTGGGTTTAAATCCCACACTACCCTCAGACCAGCCACTTCTTACCTGCTTTAAGATCTGAATAACATTACATGTTACTGTGGAAGCTTGTCGAATTTCCTTTAGGGGAGAAATGTGCTTAGTATGGGGCTTTCTCTCCACCACCATCCCAGAAAGGCACTTGGCACAGAAACGCCAAGGGATTCAGCTGCTCACATTTAAAGCCTCACAAGAGGGTTGCAAAGTGGCTGGCCTTCCTGATGATGAGCATAAGTAAAAGGAAAGTTTCTAGAGTTAAGAGCAACTTAAGGACCAGGAAGGAGACAGACACCAGGCTGTAGAATGCAGTCAGTACGGAACAGCAGCTGGCTATTCAAAAGAGCCAAGCTGGGGCTTCTGACCGCTTGAAAACTGGGAGAGAAGGGAGCGGAAGAGAACTGCATAGACACTGGGGACGATTTCCTGTTGCTGTGGGACAAGGGTCACCTTAAGGAAGCCACTTTTGGCAGGCTTTGGCAGTGGGACATAGGACAGTGCAGAGCCACAGGTCCTTCAAGCTCCCACACTTGGGCAAGGTCAGCATAAGACAACCTTCTCTCAGCCCATTACACATGCCTGCTGCAGGACAGTCCTGGACGCACTCAGCCTACTCTGATGCTCCCATGGACACCAGGGTGAGGGCAGGAAATGGAGAGTCAAGCGCACATCCAGCCTTTTCCAGATCCCTACTCTTTAGCACAAAGGTACTGGAGATGGTCATCAGCCTGCCTTAGGGAGGACGGGCAGAATGAGTTAGGATAACACACAAGGAAGTATGGCCAGAATACTCAAAAGATTACCAGTCTCTATGGCAAACTTGAAGGGGGTCATCAATGACAGCTAAGTGAAGCCACACCCTTGCCTGCTGAACTCTGGGAGGGCAGAGTCCTGACTCCCTGTAGGCCTTCACTTCTGTCCTGAGCACAACTGGGAGGTGGAGGAAGGCATCCTCCTAGCAGGACTAAGGATGAATCCAGGAGAAATGCTGGGTCTGAGCCCACTTCCCAGAATGGTTATTTACCCTTCCTGTGACATGACTTCCTGAGTGAAAGAATCCATGCTTCCAAAGCCAGGTAGGAGAACCCAAGCAGAGCCCGATGTGGCCACAGCTGAGGCAGCAGTCTTGGTTTGGGTTTCTGAGTACCATGGGCTAAAGCATGTCTCTGAAGGCCTCTGCTGGGCAAAGGCAGCCCTTGGCTCTACCCACAGTGCCAGGGAAGTCAAAAGGAAAAGGAAGGGTTGCAGGGTGATCTACTAAAGTAGGTCCCCACAACTACAAAAGAGAGGTACAGAGCTAGCTACAGCTCAGGGTAAAAACTGCAGGGAAGATAAGGTAGTGCCCCAAAGTTAGCCAGGGAACAACAAGAGAATAAGTGTCCTAAAAATACTGAGTTTATCAGGTATGGTGGCACATGCCTATAATCCCAGCACTTAAAAGAACTACAGCAAGCTGGAGACTAGCCTGGTTTATAGAGCAACACACACACACACACTCCCTGGGGGGGGGGGGGTGGGAAGATTCTTTCTTTCCTTGCACATGCTAAGCACATATTCTATCACTGAACTCTACTCCCAACCCTACACAGAACAGCAAGAAAGAGCCCCAGCCTAGATGAGCCTCTCCTGCTTGGCAGCATGTGAAGCACTTCCTGTTACCACCTTGTAAGGATCCTCATAAAAAGGCTTAGCACTCCCACTAGACTAAGGGCTCTGAGTCTGAGGAGAGGGAGACGACATGTCCTAAATTACATAGCTCACGCATGAGGACAAACGTGAGACTGAGCCCACACTCTCTCCAGACTTGCAGCTCTGGGCCAGCAGACAAGTGTGTCAGCTGGTGACAGGAAGCAATGAGCTAACTTTATAGATTGGGAATTTGCACAGACTGTGGTCATGAGAGGCCAGGCAGAGATTAAACTCTGCAAAGGGTTCCCAAGGACATTGACACACACACTTCAGAAAGGTAACTTGAGTATGATGTTCCCATAGGTGGACCAAGTCTATACCTAAGGACAGTCTAGAATGACAGAGAATGGGTATTCTCATTTCTGTAACACTACTTGTAAATTGTAGGGTTACTTTTCTTTCTTTTCACTCTGGCCAGGAGACAAGAGGAAAATCATCAACTTGTCTAGGTGGTGAAGAAGGCCCTTACTGTGGGGGTCAACAGTGCCGACACTAAAGCTTGACTCTTAGGTCATTGGTAAAGCAAGCGTGCTGCTATTGCTAACTGCATCAGGGTGTCAGCTAGATTACTGCAGTCAAGACAAATGCTCCCACAAGTCAGCTGCATTAAAATTAGGAAGCTCTTCAGCCCTTCTTTTGCCAGGTGTAAAGCAAAATTACCAATGAGGGCTGTTGGCTACAGAGAGGCTCTGAGGTTTAACTCCAGGACAAAGTTCTATGCAGCTCTTCCCTGAAGTCAGATGCCAGGTCCTAACTCTGTCCTAGTCCTAAAGCCAGGTTTACTCCCCACCTGACCAATAGAGGACCCCTAAGGCAGTCTGGCAGTTGGAGAAGCCCCATTTTGCTATAAAGATGAAGTTCATCCCCCTTACCCCTCCCCCCCAGACTGCACAAGGCCAGGCCCCTTACCTTTTTGTGCTTCTTGGCCATCCATTTGTCCCAGTTGTTGAGCATGTCCAGCCACTTGGACTCCCTCTGCCTCAGCACCTCCAGGGGAACTTCCTCCAGCCTGTGGATGCAGGACAGGGTATCAGATGTGTCAAGACAAGCAAAGGCCCTGCTCTGGCCAGCCCTGTAGTCCACTGCAGTCTGCCTCTAGACCTCCTTCAGGTCTGCAGACTCATGATGCCCTGCTACAGATGAGCACAAACGTCGCAGGCCAGATACAACAGGTGCAAGTGCCTACTCTCCCGATGTGTCAAGGGATCAGGGACACCTTGCCTCTCCAGGTTAAAGGCTGATTGTGCCTCTGTGCACAGAAGTCAAACATTCCTGTCTCAGGCCTGCCTTAGTAAATAAGCTCTTCAGGGGCCAGCGTGTAAGAGTGAAGTTGGATGCAAAAACTAGTCAAGCAAGTACAGAAATATCATGCTCACCTTTTCACCTGAGCCAAACTCATTACTCAGACTTTTCCCAATTATACGCTTGCTCTTTCCTACCTCTCACCCTCTACTCAGGCCACCCCCTTGGCAGGAATGCTCCCCAAGTGGTCTCCACCTATTAAACTCATACAGACACTTCAAAGTCCTTCAAATGCCACCTTCTATATTTGTGTACCTACTGACTGAGCAGCTGTGTCAGTTCTGGGCAGGCTAAGCAGATTCTTGTTCCCAGACCCCTTGTAGAGTTGACATTTGATGGGTGCCGAGGCTCAGCCCAAGCAGATCAACACCAAAGCAGGCAGAGGTGGGTTGGGGGAGGAATCCCTGTCTTATGTGGAGAGCAGTCACTGAGTAAGTGTCCTCAGAGAATAAGCCTTGGAGACCCACAAATTCACAGAACTCTCAAAAACAGAGAAAAGAAGGAAACTACATTTATAATACAGGCACTGAACATATGATTTCTTATCCGGCCTACAGAGTCATGGCAAAGCAGACAAACATGTAACACAAATGTACATGTACAACTCTGTCACACACACACAGTTTCCTTAAGTGCATTTTAAAGTACTGGCTTATTAAAATCTTACATTTCTTTGTTTGTTTTTGTGAAGTTCCCCCCAACTCCCCAAGTAAGAAAGTAGTACTTGGTCTGATGATTTGTAGCTCAGTGATAGAGTGGATACCTAGCATGTGCCAGGCACTGTGTTCAATTCTCAGTACCTCCAGGAAAAAAAAAAAAAAGTAGTATTTTATAAACTGGGCATAATCCTGGCCCTCTTGAGGTAGAGGCAGGAGTTTAAGGCCAGCCTGGGAAACGTGACATCCTGTCCAAAAAAACAAAACAAAACAAAACAAAACAAAAACAAAAACTGAAAGTACTTGGGGGCTGGAGAGATGGCTCAGCCAGTGGTTAAGAGCACTGACTGCTCTTCCAGAGGACCCAGATTCAATTCCCAGCACCCATATGGCAGTTTACAACTCTCTGTAGTTCCAGTTCCAGGGGATCCAACACCCTCACACAGACATACAGGCAAGCAAAACACCAGTGCACACAAAATAAAATAAAAATAAATAAATCATTAAAAAATTAAGTACTTTACAGTATTAAGAAAGGATTAGATACAGACAAGGAAACAGGCACAGAGAAGCTAACATGCCCAGGAAGGGTATCCTGCTCAGAGTCAGACAGAAAATCAGTAAGGAACCTGGACTCAATTCCAAGTCAGACCCTACACAGCCCAAAGCTGACATTCAGTCCTATTGACTGCCCTGAAAGAGGCACAGGGTAGGAGGCACTTGAGGCAGCTCTGGGGAGCTCTCAGGAACAGGACATGGTAGAGCTGGGCCTGGCCCAGAGCTGGAGTTTCTGATCCTCTATGCCGGAAGGAAATATGTTGCTGTGACTTTTACTGGTTGCAAGTGCAGAGGGAGGGGCCCTGGCAGAGCTGAGGCCTCCAGGATGCCAAAAGGCAAGTCCTCTTGTTTAGTGCACTTTATCTGGGGAACTGAGCCTGAACTCAGCCTTGGAATAGAATTTGCCTAGGATTAAAAACAAAAAACTGGGCCTCTTAACACACTGACACTAGTCACTGTGCCTTAAACTATCTCTCCAACCAAGGCACAAAGTTACTTTCTTTCTCTATTGGGTAAAAACACCTTTAATCCCAGCACTTGGGAGACAGGGCCAGGTGGATCTCTGTGAGTTCAAGGCAGCCTGGGCTACAGAGTGAGTTCCAGGACAGGCTCCAAAGTTACAGAGAAACCCTGTCTCGAGAAGAGAGAGAGAGAGAGAGAGAGAGAGAGAGAGAGAGAGAGAGAGAGAGAGAGAGAGAACACAAAGCTGTCAAATAATTAACAAGAGGATACACTTGTTCAGGCAAACCCCAAACACCTAAGAAGCAAAAATCAAAGGTCCCTACACCCCACGCCATGATGACGTGTATACCAACAACAGTATTCACTTAGGCAACAAGTCAGTGATGAGTCTTCTAGTTAACTAAATGGAGGGTAGTATGCCCACGAGAAAACAGGAAGTTCTAGCAGTAATGGGTGTGATAACATCTGATTCAGCCCTCTGTGCAGATAGGAAACTAAGGTTCAAAGAAGATGACTTACAACTGAAACTGCTAGTTGCCAAAGAATCCCCCTGAGATGAAATCCCTGCCTATGTGCCAGCTCAACCCCGGGGTCTGGTTTTTGTTGGTAAAATGTGACTGTAGAGCCTCAGGGACACCTATTCTCCCAACTGCAAACACAGGCAAACACGCTAAAAGTTCTGTCAGCTGATACCAGATGATATCTTTGGCAGTTTCAAAGCCCCAGTGCCAAACAGCAACGCAGAATTCAAACAGGGCACAAAACAAAAGGTCATGTTTCCTGGATTCTAAGACACCCCTGATTCTAGGCTGTACCAATGAAGAGGCAAGTTTCCAGAAAGACAAAAGCTATTGCTCTCAATGTGCTTATCAAATAGAAGATTTGTTTTAAATTTAAAACCTTGAACTGGGGAAATTTTGAGGAAATATACTCATTTAAATGGCTTCTCTTCCAGTAAAAGAACTTAATCTGGAGGTTGGGAGGGCAGACACTGAGGCCTGGCTGTCCCTAACACTCCGCATGGTTTCCAACTACAGGTGGGTATGTCTTCCCACACAGGATGTCCATTTTTTAAAAATCAGGTTAAAGGATCCTTCAGTAGTGTCAGTCAGGATCCTAGAAAGCATGTCTGGTTTCTACAACAACCAAGTCCCACCAGGGCTAGAGAGATAGCTCAGCAGTTAAGAATACTGACTGCTCTTCCAGGGTACCTGGGTTTGGTTCCCAGCACGCACATGACAGTGACCAGGTGTCTATAATTCCAGTTCCAGAGGATCCGATGCCCTCTTCTGACCTCCACAGGCACTGGTACATAGATGTACATACAGGCAAAACACTCATACACAGTAAATAAAACTAAAAACTAAAAACAAAACAAAACGAAACAAACACAAAAGCCAACAAGCTAGCCCCCTTCCTTTTCTGTGCTTGTTTTTTTTTTTTTTGATATGTGTACAGGCGATACTGTAAATTGACTTTAAAAGGATGCCAAGAGGGGAGCTGAGGGATGAAGCTGGGAGGATGGGAGTGCTTTAAACAGCTTGGTGGTATAAAGGCCCTAAGGTGGCTCCCTCCTGACAGTGTGGAGTGTATGAGCCAATTGCTAGTAGTGAGAGAGAAACTGACCAAATGCTCTGTGGGGGTGCTTCAGGTCAGGAGCACACTCACTTTCCAGAAAACCCTCTGGTGTAGGAGGTCCTTCTGTTTGTGTGTTGCTTTCATTGGTTAATGAATAAAGAAACTGCCTTGGCCTAGTTGATAGGGCAGAACCTAGGTAGGTGGGGAAGACAGAACTGAATGCTGAGAGGAAGAGAGGCAGAGTAGGAGAGAGACACCATGGAGCCGCCAGAGACAGAAATGCCAAATCTTTCCCGGTAAGGCACTGCCACGTGGCAATACACAGATTAATAGAAATGGGTTAAACTGAGATGTAAGAGTTAGCCTTACATCTTACAGTAAGAAGTTAGAGCTGGTGGGCCAAGCAGTATTTTAATTAATGCAGTTTCTGTGTGGTTATTTTGGTTTTGGGCAGCCGAGACAAACAAGTGGCCGCCCCTTCAACTATCCTCTTTCTTGAAGGTGGTCTGAGGGGGTTTCTATACCCAAAGAGCCTACTAAGAGCAATCTCTAGGATCAGCCTTTACTGGAATGGCACGGGCTAGTCATCCTACTGCTGAACAGGTTCTACTGCTAAATGTTCTTTCCCCAGCTAGGACAGAAATTTCCTGGTATCTTCTCCCTCTAATTTCAACACCACCTTCTGGGGCTACAGTGCTCGTGCCCTCTTATACCAGACACATACAGCTTATCCCTTGTCACCCACTCACCTACTCTTGTCTGAAATGCTCTTTCTTCTCTCTTCTAAGTCAGCACCAGGGCCTCATATACCATCAAAACCCCCAACAACAACAGTAGTTAGCATTTATACATCACTTACTACTTAACTAATTCTGTCTCAGGATTTCATGTGTTTATCACATGTACCCCAGGACAATGTCACTCTCCCCGTTAGCAACAGAATACCAGACCTACAATGCACAACTGTAAGAAGTAAAATTGAAACAAAACAAAGGGCTGTGTGACTCCATGGCCATGTTCTTGACCTTTATGCTATAGTCCTACACATCTAGAGGCCAAACCCTCAGTATCCTCACAGCCTGACCATCTGTGTGTGCAACTTTCAGACCTTCATCTGGCCTGCAACACTGTTTCTCAGACTTTAAACTGAGGTCCACGGTAAGACCCACATTCTATATTAAGTATACATTCATATAACTGAAATGTTTTATGAAATAAGCTTCCCTTACATGAAGAAATATGCACTTTGATTTTCAAATCAATTTCAGACAGTTTTTTTAAGTTAGGTAGGCTGGGCATAGTGGCATACATCCCAGCACCTGGAAAGTTGAGACAGGAGGAGTGTCGTGAGTTTGAGGCTAGCCTGGACTACAGACTAAGATCCAAACAATCAAAAAGCTACTTATAGGACAGTGAGATGATTCAGTGGCTGAAGGTACTTGCCTCCAAGCAT